CAGGTCCCCCTGCTCCCGAAGGGCCCGGCGGTGCGGAGCTGGGCGGCCGAGTCGTGCTCCTTCCACCCGCCTCCTCGCACAGGCTTCCCGGTGCTGGGCCCGGCTTTCTGGGCAGGACCGAGGTGTGTTGGAGGCTTGTTGGGTTCACGCCTCCCCGAAAATAGGTGTTCGGGACGGACAGCTGAAAAAGAAGCACAAAGAAGTGGCAAACACCTCCTTTGATGGAAAACAAAACGCCCTTTAATGTGTTTATGCGCATGCTATGGTGTGTGAAGTTTTAAGTCACGAGGAATCTTGTATAACATATACAAACTGCTAAAGAAGCAGTTATTAGTTGTGCTGTTTTAAGTGTTAACGAGTGAACCGCAGGCTCTGGACTAATTAATTTCCAGCCTGACATGTAAACACACGTAGAGAGTGTGGAAGAAGGTTGGGGGGGTTCTTCTGTGAGCTGTACAGTACGTTGTACTGGACTGGAGCCGCTCCGAAGTTGTTGGAGGTGAGTCAGCTTTGATATCACATCTTTTTTTAGCATCGCTCTGTTATACCAGCACCTGAAAATACATCAGTAAACAGTTGACACGTGTTGCAGTTGCCTAATGCGAGTGCATGTGAAGCTCTGGTGGTAAAAGCCTGATGCGTGTATGTACAAGAAGCTGGATGTTTTGGGGATGTGGGACCTTCACCTTCTCTTGCGTTTGGGTGTTGGTGTTTGCTGAGCGGGTGTTGCTTGAGTCCTGCTCAAACCGAAACAGGATATTCATCTGGTTTATTGTGTTGTGTTACACACATGACGTGAACCAGTGATTCTGTTCCAGCGTGAGGGACTAAGCCACTTCACAAGATTGCAATCAGATGTGGGGGTATGAGTTTATACTTTTGGAAGGATTGGTTTAATAACTTGGAAACCCAGGGTGGGGAGAAGCCTTTGCAGCTGTGGGAAACACAACCAAGTAAACACAGTACATGAAACTGATTTAGTAAATATCTGACAACTTTGATATCCCAAAACTTATTTAACTTTTTCATGTCAGGTTTTTTTTTACTCCTCTCCATAAGTTGTGTATTTGTTTAGCCTTATGTTACTTGTACCTCATGCTGAAAAGCAAACCGTGTCAAGTCTGCTTCATTTTGTTAAGTGGAAACTCCTTTTGCATACTGTGATTGTCAAGAGCCATGAAGAGAGAAGAGTTCAACAGCTTTTGTATCTCCTCTAATTTGTTTGACTAGACCTACAGGAAAAATTACTACCTTTTTTACTATTACTACTATTTTTGCTTTTAAAAAGGGGCTACAAAGGCTACATTTTCCCTAACTGTTCAAGCTTTCTGGGCGATTTTGGATCTAACTTCCAGTTTCCAGCCCTTGCCACAGCCTTTCTGCAGTTAGCCCCTCTGACAGCAGGGTGCACATGAGCTTTTCGGTCGGTCTGAAACCCAAAGCCATCCCTCAGATGTGTTTGTCAGGCTGAAGGCTTAGGCGCTGCTCTTGGCGGGCAGCCCGGCGGTCGCGTAGGAAGAAGACCCGTTCCTGCTCTCCCGGACCAAAATAGAAGGGGATTTATGCTGTTGGGACTAAGCTGTCCGAACTGTGTGTGCTCAGGGAGCCAGGATGTAAACACGGTGCTTAGATGGGATCTGAGCACAAACAGAGCGAGCTCTGCTTCTGGATGTCACCACAGGGCAATGGTATTGCTCAGTGTCCACATCACATCCAGTTTTGTCACAGACTTGGGCAGTGAAGTGCAGGGCACCAGCAGCAGCCCTGGATAAACCTGCATTTACACACTGATGTTTACTTAGAGTTTGTCCCTTGGTCTGCAGGGCTTTTGGTGGTGCTGGTTCATAAGTGTACTACAGCCAAACCTTATGTTAATGCTCCACAGTGGCTTTTGGAGCGAGGGCAGCCACTGTTCTCATCTGACTTGAGGCTGCAGCAGGAGATGTCACAGAAGGCGAATTGCTCCATGGTTGGGGCTTGCTGGCTTACCTTGTTCAGGGTCCTCTGTGGTCCTTAAGCAGAAACCCTGGTGTGCAGAAGGAGAGTGTCTGGATCCGATTCCTGTTGTGATACATATTTCTGTGTGGCCTGAGTTTATGTGGCTTTCAGTAAATAACGTGCTTCTCCTTAGTCCAAGGATTAAGGAACTAAAAAGAATTTTAAAAGCTTCCATGATTACTTTAGAGATAAACACATCATTGAACTGGTAAGAGGGAGCTGTACACAAGTTTTCCCCTTGCTCCCTTTTGAAGCAACCAGCTTTGAAGCAAAACAGGCTTATACCAAATTTAGCCACATCACACACACAGATCTGGGAGCAGAGAAAGCTCCACTGCAGTCCCTTGCACTGAGTCCCAGGGAAGGTGTGTAGAAGTGTTACTGGGTGGTTCTCGGCTCCCGTTTGTGGCTGCACTTGGTTCTCTTCCTCACTGTGGCAGCCAGCACTGATTGCTCTCCCATGGTTCACGATGTAGTCCTGCAAATCCCAGCTATACGTGGTGCTTTAATATTCCCTTGCTCCCTGCACACTTAATGTAACCTGTTGGGCTGTTGTAGTGTGTTGGTTGTAGGTTTGTCTTTCGGGGTATTGATCATCTGCACGCAATGCTTTGTGTATTCTCTGATTTGGAATGAGAAAATACATACTAAATCTGCATATAACTGTTCAGTTGTACTTACAGGAGGAGGTATTTTATTTATATAAAGCTTGTCATTCTGTATTTGTCATTCGTAGATTGCAAGAAGACCCTCCTGTGGGTGTCAGTGGTGCACCATCTGAGAACAACATCATGCAGTGGAACGCAGTTATATTTGGGTAAGAGTTTTTGATCACTCTAACATCCTATAGCAAAGGGCTAAATGTACCAAAACCTGGGGGTTGCTTTTACAATTATTCTCCTTTTTTATGTACATAAAGCCAGCAAACTTAGAAAAGTGGCCAAGCGTGCTGTTGTGGTGAGAATGTGGCTTTGGGGGTAACACAGGATGTGTAAGAAAGAGATTTAAAATGTTTTCATCTTTTTTTGTTGAATACAGCTTGCACGTGGGTTAATAAATAGGTTAGACTCTGTAGGGGTTGGGTTATGACAGAGCAGGATTCCTTTATAAAGTACATACGAGCCTCCTGCTCTTGGCCATTAAATCCAGATGTGTTAGCAGGGATTGGATTGATTCCCAGAAGAAGGAGGCACAGGTTCTGACTGGGAATTTACATCACATATCCTAGAGAATGGGAATGGCCTTAGTATCCTTACATAAAACTGAATGTTTTCTAGTAATTTCCTCATTAATTCCACCTAGTCATGTAATTACATATGTATTGCTTGGGATGATGATGAGGTAGATATCCCAACTAGCACATTGACTATGGGAAAGTGTCTCAGACATGACACAGCTCTCAGGAGGTTGCCTCTGGATACTTCCCTAAATGTTTAGAGAACTCTACCTGTATTTAACTGCCTCTACCTGTATCTTGGGGAGGATGAGGAAGATGAACATTTATGGTTGTTCTTCAGAAGCTGGTAACGATCATTTTGTAACTGGAGTTTATTTTTCAAACCTTTCAGGCCAGAAGGGACACCTTTTGAAGATGGTAAGCTGCTGACTTCTATATCCCTGTCATTCTTATAAATATTGCCAGTATTAACAACTAATAGATGTTATCTGTATATGGAACAAACTAAGCAAGTGAAGGAGTAAGGTCTCATGGGCTATACAGATATGTATTTTGATGTAAGCAGTGTCTTGCCATGATGTTTAGTTAGCTGTGAAGCAGTGCTTGTATTGAGACCTGTTTGTACGTATACAGCAGAGCTTTTAGCAGGGAAAGCTGGTCTGCTGCTGCCAGATGTGTTTTCCATAGCCAGGCCCAACAAGACAACATGCTTCTCTGGCTTCATCTTGGTGGCACGTTTGATTCAGCTCTGTTCTCCTAATGAAGAACAGGTGAAAAATCTTGAGTTGTTCTGAATATAGAGCTCGGTGAGGGGGAGGCAGTACTCAACTGGTACATAAACATGAAAGTTGGTGTGTAATGAACCTCCCTTAGGCACATGAGGAATAATGAGTTTAATAATTATAGTATTATTGCAGTAATTGGCAGCAGATGGGTTTGTCTCTGTGTTGGGTTGGAGGAGTTACAGTAAATTATTCACTGATCCATAATAAAGGTTTTCAGTGAATCAGTCGTGAGCTGCAAAGGCTGAGATTGCTGATTATGAAATTCCAGCGTTTTTTTGCTGGCACCACGGTGTCTTCTTAATGAAACACCTTAAAGTCACCAAAATCCATGGAACCAGCATGTTGGGTCACAGAAGGGGAGGGATGATTGACATTGGATCTAGCTGCCTTTGCCATGTGTGCAGCGAGTCTCCAAGCTTCCACCCCCAGCTGCTCCCGGGTTTATGACTATCACTAAGTAGTAGTTCCATAGTTCCATCATCACGTGAAATACATGAAAAGAAACCAGACTCTGTTGCTTGTGAGGTGCTTGATGGTGAGGAGAAATACTGATCCTGGAGCACGTAACTTCTGCTGTGTATGTTCCTGGAAGTGGTGTTTTGTTGTTAGTTATCTGATTGTATTTCTGTTTGTATTTCAGGTACTTTTAAACTAGTAATAGAATTTTCAGAAGAATATCCCAACAAGCCTCCAACTGTTAGGTTTTTATCAAAAATGTTCCATCCAAACGGTGAGTAAATCACTTTTATTTAGCCATAATACTCCTTAAATACTGTGGTGTGCTCATGTATTCTGTGAAGCTCCAGAATGCTGAACAGCTCTCCATTTCTCTTCACTGCCACCTCCCGAGTGGGTGTCTAGGACAGGATGAAGAATTAAAGAGTTATGATGCTGTTAAGCAGCAGCTATCTGTCTCTTTCGAATCAATATTTAGCCACGGTAGCAGATCCTGTGAGCATTTGGTTGGCTTAAAGAGGCAATTCTGGTTGCAGATTCCTGCCCCCTTCCATTAAACAGCCGTCGTGTATGTGCAGCCACATCATGAATCAGGGCAGGGAAGTGATGCAGCCAAATGTCATTTATTTCTGTCAGGTGAGATTTCAATCAAGTCCATGCCTTCACTTGGTTCACTGTGCCAGCTAGCACAGGGAAGAATGTGCAGCTGTAGGGAGCCCCTGTGTCCAGCCTGGCCTTGAACACTGCCAGGGATGGGGCAGCCACAGCTTCTCTGGGCACCCTGTGCCAGCGCCTCAGCACCCTCACAGGGAAGAGCTTCTGCCCAAGAGCTCATCTCAATCTCCCCTCTGGCAGGTTAAAGCCATTCCCCTTGTCCTGTCCCTCCATCCCTTGTCCAAAGCCCCTCTCCAGGTTTCCTGGAGCCCCTTTAGGCCCTGGAGCTGCTCTAAGGTGTCCCCTTGAGGAGCCTTCTCTTCTCCAGCTGCCCCAGCCCAGCTCTCTCAGCCTGGCTCCAGAGCAGAGCTGCTCCAGCCCTCTCAGCAGCTCCGGGGCCTCCTCTGGCCTCGCTCCAGCAGCTCCACGTCCCTCTTGTGCTGTTCCCCAGAGCTGGACCAGGGCTGCAGGGGGGGTCTCCCCAGAGCGCACTAGAGGGGCAGGATACCCTCCCTGAGCTGCTGCTCACACTCTGGGGGTGCAGCCCAGGATACAGTTGGCTTTCTGGGCTGCAGATGCACTCTGCCTGGTCACATTGAGCTTAATGACCAACACAGAAGTAGGTTTTCAGGTATTGTCTGCCTTGGAGTGTCTCTTAGTTTAAAGTATGTGATAATGGGGTGAGAACTGCTACTGTTCAGTGCATGGTGACTGCAGCGAACACCTTGCTGCTGAATTGGAACAGTAACTCTGCCTTGAACAGTGTGTAATGAACAAACTAACATAACTCTGACCGTTTCTAAATGACATCTCTGTTGTACTTACAGTGTACGCGGATGGTAGCATATGTTTAGATATTCTTCAGAACCGCTGGAGTCCAACATATGATGTTTCATCTATTTTAACTTCAATTCAGGTAACTTTGCATCTATTTTAGCAAATAATTCTGTTGTTGTTAGGCTCTGTTGCAGAATACACAGAATACAGCTCAGTGGTGGGACTAGGCAGGAATTTGTCTCAAAGGGGACTTCAGGTATTTTGAGCTAAGCAGTAGCTTTTTAGATGAAGTAAATGTTAAGGTGCCAACCTATGTAATTATTAATTTTGAGCTACAAAACTGCCATTATATGTTTTTGCAGGAGAACAGCTAGTGATTTGGGTTGGTTTTAACAGTTTTTAGTCAGGATAGGACATTACATGTGGAGATTTCCCTGGTGTTTGGCACACTGAGCTTTATGGTGGAGCCCTGCCCGTGAAGTCCTCAAGGAGGCAGTACTGAAACCTGATTTACTTGGAATTAATATAAATGGCCTGGCACAGCAGAAACGTGCTTTTCCTTATCTCCTATGTGATTGTTTCTGGTTTTCTACAATGAAGTTTTATCGGAGGCATCTTAAGCCCCTCTTTAGTCCTGAACAACAATAGCAGTGAAATTACCAAATAATCAGTTAGCATCATACTGCTCTCTGGCACAAATGTCCACCTGCCTGTTAGGTTTGTGAGCCTGGCAGTGCTAATGCTTATGCAGTGTATCATTTGAGGTTCAGTAACGTAATTACAGGTACCCAACCATGAGTTCACCTTGGGCTGCTTTTTCACTTGGGCTCTTCTGAGTCATGTCTGCCTCCTGAAGCACATCTGATTTGAGAGTTGTGAACGGACTCTTCCTGGATTGCAAATGGGCTGGTTTGTCTCACGTTTTGTTTTCCCTTTCTTACAGTCTCTGCTTGATGAACCTAACCCAAACAGCCCAGCCAACAGCCAGGCAGCACAACTCTACCAGGAGAACAAACGGGAATATGAGAAAAGAGTCTCAGCCATTGTTGAACAAAGTTGGAATGATTCGTAACAGCCGCTTTGTTACTCTCCCTCCTCGTAATCATGTACCATTTAACTCTCAATAGAAAGGCTACCACAGATTTCAAGTGCCACAGTTCTATGAATTTGCATCAAAACTCATTTGCAACCAAAATTTAAGCCCTCCAGTTTAGGAAACTTTAAAGCTTGTGTATCTTGATTAACGTCCTTTTTATTGCATGGTCTGAACTAAGTTATTGCTACATAAATTTGTAATATATCCTGTTTGTATTTTTTTTCCAAGTGTATAATGTTGGTGTGGAGTTTTCATGACAGAATATACACATTTTGTAAATCTGTACTTTTTCAAATATTGAATGCCTTATTTTTGAATTCTTTAGATTTTTAAATTGGAGAAAAGCACTTAACAAAGTTTTTATATATAACTATTTCATGTACAACTGTTAAATACATAACCTTAGTGCAAGATGTTCTGCTCTCGCTCTGTATCTCTTCCAAAGGGCTCATTTTCAGTCCACCACATGCCTGATACCACTTTACAGAAGGTTAATCCAGGATGTAACTGTCTTCACTGGATGTCTCTGCTTCTGCACCAGAGCTTGACTTGATTCTCTGTGTCCTCAGTTGTATGAGGAAGAGAAATACTGGTAGCTGCCAGCTTATAGATAAGGAAATGGATGTAACTATTTTGCTCAAAAGTCCCACATTAAACCAGTGCCAGAGGGACCTCAATGGCCAGGTTTGGTGCAAATGTATTCTAACAGCTTTTATTTTTCAGGGAGATTGTATTTTACCAACTTGTAAAGTGTTGTCAGCGAACTCTGTCCTATATTCACATCCTGATACTGGAATATAGTTTTGAACGCCTTCTAATAATTAAAGAGGTGCCCCATTAGTTTCCTTTAGGGGTAGGGATAAACTAATAGCCACCAGAAGAAAGCATGCCTGCACGTTTAACGGAGTGATTCTTTAAAGCTTGGCTGGGTACCACACAGCCAGGTTCTTGTGTCTGGATCACAGCTTCCAAATTGCCAGTTTAAAGAAGTTTGGGGTTGATTTTAGAAGTGTTGATGTGGTAATTCCTTATTGTACTCTGTAATCCAGGCCGGATACTACAGTAAAGAATTAGGCCTTATTCTTTTTCCTCCCAGCAGCAAAATTGTAATCCCTTTGTCACAATTCCAACCAGCATTATGTGTGCACTAAAACCCCCAAATCCCACAGCAAAATACAGCTCAGTGCTGCCTGAAAAGCAGTGGGAGTTTACTTCAGCTAGAAGAGGAAATGATGTTTATTTGCAATAGTCATTACTAAAAAGTCGGTGTCTGGTAATGCAGTGAAAAGGAATATCGATTTATACCTTACACCTGCTTGTAAAGTTGGTTTATATTCGTAGGAACAGCACTATTAACTTTAGAAACAGCAACCAGAATACTAGTCAAACCATTCTGTTTAGTAGCCTGTGGAGGAAAACTACTAAGTAAGAACTTTTAGTGTGCAAAGGCTCAGAAGCATCAGTGCTAAGGAACGAGAAACTACAACCTTGGTAAGTCAGTTTGCTTTCCTTGAGCCTTGAATTTGTGTTTAAAAACTCTTTAATCTACATCTTATTGTTAACAGAAACCCCAGAGGATCCAATTTGCCTTTTGACTGTGGTGAAATTACAGCAACACCAGTGAAGCTGCATCTTAAAGCAGTGTCAGTGCAAAGATTCTTGTTTAGAAATACAATGTGGAAAAGCTTCTTAAGAACTGGTCTAAACTTTGCAGTTTGGGTTTTTACATTTTGCCTCCTGTTGCAGTGTTTTTGTTCCTTTGACACGTGCATGAGATGAGATTTGCCATTCATTAGAGTCCACATTAATGGGATTACTCCTGAGCAGCCGGTGTAGCCTGGTTATAGACTGAGGAGGCTCTGAGCATGTTTCTGTGTACCTGGGGTGGAGGCAGTGGATGTCTGAGAACTGGGATTGGAGCAGGAGGTGTGATCAGTGCTGTGAACTCAGAGCACCACGATATACAGGCACACGTGTGTGTTTGAAGGAGTTTGAGCATGTTCTGTTGCAGGCAGGGTTTGGAGCCTGCAGTCAGTAGTTAAAGTCAAGGTGGAGAGTGTCCTGCTGTCCCATGGGTGAAGGTAATGATTGTACTCCCACTGTACGGTGAGGAGGGATGTTCCCTTGTTTGACCATGTTAATGCTGTGTGATGCCAGCAGCATCTGGATGTGAACACCGGGAAGATGAGAATCCAGCGCTGGTTTGATGATGCCCGGGGGTAGATGCAGTTCACCGCCGAGCCCGCCTGGCGCACGGCT